TCCTCCTCCTCCTCCTCCCTCCTCTTCCCCCTCCCCCTCCTCCTCCCATCTGTTCCTGCCAGTAAGTGCAGCAGGAATCAGATGACTTCCTCTCCCCAGCCTGGAGGATCCAGGGAGATGATGAATTTGGGGCTAGCCGGATCCTGCTTTTTTTCTCCATCCATTTGTCACCCACCGTCCAACCGAACTAAACAACCCCGAGGCAACCACGTGCCCCCCCCCCCCCCCCCCCGGCCCCTCTCCCCCCCCCAGGAGGCCCCCCCCCCCCCCCAAAGTGGGCAGGCTTTGATGTCCCTGCCTCCTGCCTCCCTTCTCCCCTCTGACCCCGCATCGCTTTTTCTGGCTGACATGTTTATTAAATAGAGGCTCCGGGCTGCACCGATAAAGCCGGCCTTATCCCGAATCCCTCTGCCGTATAACCTGCCCGCCCGATTTTTTTTTTCCCCCTCCTCCTCCTCCTCCCACGTCCCAACGCACATTTAAACCCCTCCGCTAGCCAGGAGTCTCTGCGTTTGCTTACATCTTGCCAAACAATTGACATTTTAAAGGGTTGCTCTTTCCAAGTGGGTGACGGAGGCCCTGGGGAAGGGAGGGAGGGAGAAATACATTTGGAGCCGTGCAAATGGGGGCAGAGCTGGCATGCATTCCCACCCACCCACCGGTACCCTTGCAAAGTCCTGGAGAGAGAAAAGGACGGGACAAGTTTACAGAAGTAGCTGCAGCCCCATCCATCAAGCCGCGTTCAAACCTCATGGTGGCTGAGAGGTCGTGTCAGCGGTGCCCCCTGGATTCCATTGGGCGTTGAAAAGCAGCCAGGCCAATCACTTTAGCCGCAGAGCCGGGCGGCTGGCTCTAAAAGACCAAGAAACGGACCAATTGCACAAGAGTGTCAAAAGCTATAAAGCAGCGGGAAGCCGGCTTCGGCGTTAAAAGAGTCTTATTGGGTGTCGTGAGCCGATAGGAAATTGCAAGCGACAATAATGCCCTTATCTGTGTATATGCAGCTTCGCGGGGGTTGCTCCTTTTGCCAGCCAGGGATTTGAAGTTCCTCCTAGCAGGAGGACCATCCCAAGAAAAGAGACAAGGGCAGGAGTAAACACCAGTCAGAGGTGGGATTCAGCCGGTTCTGATCAGTTCTGGAGAATTGGTAGCAGAAATTTTGAGTAGTTCAGAGAACCGGCCAATGCCACCTCTGACTGGCCCCGCCAACCCCATCTATCCTCCGCCTCCCATTGAGTCCCAGCTGGGTCTTCTTTGGTTGCCCTGCCCA